AGGAGGAAACAGGGGAATTAGCAGAGGATTTCCACTTATCATTACTGAAGGAGCTGTAGCAATTCTTTATTTAACAAGTACAGCTTAATAAGAAGAAGCACTTAGGGCTTGGCTTCACTCTTCCAAGGGCTGTACACGCACTAAATTAACTCCCATAGCAGTTCTCTAAAGCGATCAAGATGAGAACTGTTCTCACTTGACAAAAAGAGAAACTGAGATAACAGCCAGGAGTTACCCCATGGTTCAGCATGACGTGTAGAGATAAAGCGCTTACCCAAATCTATTCGGGAAACAGTGGCAGAACGTGGATCAGAATTCATCGCTTCTCCCTGGCTCCCAGTCTTATGCTTTGGCTACAAGAGTATGACGCCTGCAGCCCTTCCTACATGGGATCAACTTCAAACCAATCCTGGGACACCGAACAAAACGCTTTGATGAAGAAACTCGAGCTAGAAACTCTAGTAACAAACATGCTTTCTTTGCAGACATCTTGGCTATGGACAGATGCAACTTTTAATCGCTCTGAAAGAGGAAAGGAGCTGTCACTCAGGAGCACGCCTCGGCTGTGCCAATGTAATAGTTATGTTTGCTGGCTCCTATAGCAATGCACATGAGTTTAGCCCTGAATGAAACAGGGTTCAGGTTACAACAGTTTGGTTACAACTACAAAGCAGGCAGATGTAACAGGTAGGATGCAAAGGATGATATCAAGACCTTTTGATGCAGATACAGTTGTTACATTTGTCTACTCCCCTTCTCAGTTCTCTGCAAAATGAGGAACAGCTGACATCAAATAAAATACATTGTGGAAAAAATGGAGGATAAAAAATAAAGACTTTCTAAACGCAGCAAATTAGAGTTATAATGGGCGTGGTAAGCATTACCACCTCTACTTTACAGGTAATGAAACGGAGGCCGAGAAGCTACGGGCCAGAGATCTGCGACAGACAGAACTGGTCCATTAATCCGAGTGTGACGTTCAAGCCTATGCCCTAATCACCGAACAAGGCTTCCTTTACAAACTTGACTGTACAGTAACAGCCACTTACGTTGTAATAAAAACAGCAAAAAAAGGAAGAATGAAAACCCAGTTAAACCTCTTGCTATTTCAGCACTTTGGTCCCTGCTATTAAATACCATTCATTTTCTGTTTCAGCTTGGGTCTAAATGGAGACCGGAGAAGCAATGGTGAGGGTTTAATGCAATGGCATAGTATACACCAGTGAAGCCTCCCTTACATGTCCTGTCGGGAAGGGTTTGGTTGGGCTCCCAAATCCACATGCCATGAAAGCTGCTGTGAGGGAGGAAAGCAGGATGGATTTTCTGAGAATTTAATCCATTCTCATTTAAACTGGATAAGGGGGAAGCAATAAGCACCGTGGAAACTTCCCCATTATAGAGCTGCAGACATCTCCTTCGCTCGGCCTCCCCGAGTCTCAGATTTGACCATGGAGTTGTTGAGAACGGGAAGATGACATGGCTGAGCTGGGGGCAGCTTTGGCACGGCTGAGCCACAGAGCTGGGCAAGCGAGGAAAGGGGGGCTATGCCGCAGCCTTCACCAGTGCCTGCGGCGCTGCGGGGAGCCCAGGTGGCTCACCTGCTTCGCAGGGCCAATGCCAGCCCACCTGGTCCTGGCATGCCAGGCTGCCCGCCCGACATGCTGGGAGAAGGGCAGGGGCCCGATCCGGCTGGGCAAGCGGCACTGGAGTCTGAAGCGGTGCTGCTTTACCCCCGGGAAACACAGTGGGGGCAGGGACAGCACTGACATGCAGTGCAGCCTTCCACAGACGTAGCTAGTCAGGTTTTTGGCCTAGGCCAGTGTTTCTTAGACCCAGTGGACACTCTCATGCACCCCGTCTAGGTCCCCTCCACCTGCTGTACTGCCGCTTGCTTGGGCGTACTGCCTTCTCTGCAACAACAGTGCATCACCCCTGAAAGGGCCTTGTGGCCCCAGGTTGAGAATCACTGACCCCGTGTTTTGCAAGTAACATTCAGTTTAAAAGCCAAATCTACAGCAGTATTTCTCAACCTTTTTAGATCTGAGGCACCCCTTGGGAGACTCAAGGCACCCTCAGAAAATACCAGCTCCTAGTTTTCACTTGTTGACTACACAAAAATAGTTTAGCAATTCTTCTATTGCAAAGAGCTCAGAAAGACCACAGGAGGTCCGAATGTTTTTAATACTGTGGATTCCTGTTTGAAACCTCGGGGTTTATCCTCTGAATCATGTTTGCCCACCTAACAGTGTAGCATCTCACGGCACCCTTGAAAGGCTCTCAAGGCACCCCAGGAATACTGACCCACGGGAAAGCAGGGCAAAGCTAGAACAAAAGGGTCAGGGTTACAGAGAATTTTACTGATACAGTGGAGTTAGACTGGGTTGTACCAGGACAAATCATATCATAGAAGATTTGGGTTGGAAGGGTCCTCAGGAGATCGCATCTAGTCCACCTCCCTGCCCAAAGCAGGACCAGCCCCAACTACATCTCAGCCAAGGCTTTGTCTAGCCGGGTCTTAAAAACCTCCAGGGATGGAGCTTCCACCACCTCCCTGGGTAACTTGTTCCAGTGCTTCACCACCCTCCTAGTGAGATCATTTTTCCTAATATCCAACCTAAACCTTCCTTGCTGCAACTTGAGCCCATTGCTCCTTGTTCTGCCACCGCTGAGAACAGTCCAGCTCCACCCTCTTTGCAACCCCCCTGCAGGGAGTTGAAGGCTTCTATTAAATCTCCCTTCAGTCTCCTCTTCTGCAGACTAAATAAACCCAGTTCCCTCAGCCTTTCCTCAAGTCATGTGCCCCAGCCCCTGAACCATTTTTGTTGTTTTCCTCTGGACTCTCTCCAGCTTGTCCACATCCTTTCTATAGTGGGGGGCCCAAAACTAGACAGTACACCAGATGTGGCCTCCCCAGTATAGAATAGTGAAATAATCACTTCCCTCGACCTGCTGGCATTGCACCTACCAATGTAGCCCAGTATGCCATTCGCCTTCTTGGCAACCAGGACACACTGCTGGCTCCTATTCGGATTATTGTCCACTGTACCCCACAGGTCCTTTTCTGCAGAGCTGCTGCTTAGCCCGTCAGCCCCAGCCTGCACCGGTGCATGGGACTGTTCCCTCCTAAGTGCAGGACTTTGCACTTGTCCTTGTTGAACCTCATGAGATTTCTTTTGGCCCAATCCTCCAATCTGTCTAGGTCAGTCATATGCAGGCGAAAGCTTTATTCTACTTGATCAGAGACAGTTAGCAATACTTACACGTACCATCTTTTTAACATACTTTGTGGACGTGAAAAGTTGGCAATGAGGGTGCAATTTCTGATCTATGTTGCAAAATGAATAAAAACCAGCCTCTCTAAATTCTAATTTTCAATCTGCAATACAATACTTCTGGTCATTCTGACTCAAATTACAAGGCCTGGCATCAAAGTCAATATCTAGAGGCAATTGAGAGCTGTGAGTCCATTTCTTTGGCTTATTATTGGGTGTTTTATTATTCCATAAAAACAAAGTGCAGTTTACAATTCACTGTGTGGATTTTATTTTTCTCCCTTTACAAGGAAAGATCCACAAAATGAAAATTTACTTTAGGACCCAAGTTTGGGAGGAGAAGGTGTGGAATGGGTCTGTCAAAGTTATTTATACCAGCTGCACTATCAAAACTCCAGCTCCAAGGTACAGTTTGGCCTCTCTCATATTTATGTCCGGCAAACGCCCAAGAAGTTGAATACCACAGTGCAACGCATGCAGAACGAGCGAGGGAGCTTCAGGAGACATGTGACTTGTTAAGTTAGGAGCTAAACAGATGCTTGTCAGCAGTGTATTTAAGAGGAGACCCTGGTTCCCATGACCTTACAGAAACTAGGCTTTAATGGGAAGAAACACCAACTTGTGGTGGCCAAATCTTCGTGGAACAGCACAGCGAGGAACTAGAAGTCCCTTGTTTATTATATCTGGAGGAACTTGGAAAGCCAAGCTGGCTGGGCCTGTGACTCCAGGATCAGCTTCCAGTCCATGGAGAATTTCATAGTGCAGGACGATAATAATGACAGCAAAAAATGAAACATAATTAAGTTGTTCAGAAAAAGCCTGCTGGCAATTGTCAAAGCCAGAATGAGGAGGCCAAAAAAAGGGAAAGGCAAAGTGTTTTCAAGTGCAACAGGAGGGAAAAAAGGGGATCGGACCACTTACCATCTAACAGCACAGCAAAGAGACCTAATTAACCTCGTGCTCAATCAGCTGGATAGTCGCACCAGGAATGATATTGCCTCCCTCACTTGTGTGTGGAATAAATTGTACCTACCCGATGGACTCACACTGCCATTCTGTGTGCAGGCATCGACTAAAACGAATCCCTCTAGTACCAACAATAACCACCCCCCCATGCAAAATACAGCACGCCATACTTAACGCAGAAACCCCCAAAAGAAGGTAGTCAGCCTTTCTTTTTAAACCAGGGGCGTCAAACATACTGTCTACAGGCTGCATCCGGCCCATGGAGCCCTAGCATCTGGCCCCTGGTGCTGCCCGAGGGTCTGCGAGTTGACCCACAGACAGCACCAGATGGCCCCGCACGCTGCATGTGATGCCTGCTCCAGTTCACATCTGCTCCATGCTGGATCTAGTGGCATGTCCTGGAGCAGCCACTGCATGCAGCATGGCCGCGGGGGGCAGAGCAGGTTTATGCTGCACACAGAGTCTGCTCCAGTCCTTCCAGGACCCAGGCTGCATGCAGGGCCAGTCTGTAGGTCCGATCCTACCCACATTTAATACCCCTGTCTTAAGCCAAAACCTGGACTCCAGAACTACATCTGCCTATTTACCCCCATATAGACGTGCTCCAAGGAGTGTAGCATCCCAGATTCATTCACCTGGGCCTCGGCCAACATCGTATATGCCATCACCAGTTTACAAGGCCCATCTGCTGTCTACATCAGACAGGGCGATCACTACATGCAAGAATGAACAAACGCTGATCTGACATCAGCTGCAGAAAGGCACAGAGCCTGTGTCAGAAAACCTGAGCCTCCCCGAACATTGCATTGCTGACCTCAGGATTGTTGTTCTCAGACAGCAAAACTGAATGGGAAATTGCCGAAGAAGAAATCATCTGCAGGCTGGATTGCGTTAAGTGTGATTTCAACAGGGACCACAGGTTCTTATCCTGGTACCTGGATGAGGCTCTGTGACCCCGTTGTCCCTATGGGTTGTTTGCTTGCCTGCTTGTCTCCCCATTCCTCCTCCCCCCTCTCCCTCTCCATCTTCTGCGTTCAAAATCACCCCCTCCACTTTACGCGCTGCTCTATGCTGTCCTTGCACAACATCTGACCAAGTGAACTCGAGCTCATGTGAGCTTGTGCTCTATATGTTTCTTATTTAGTTAGTCTATAAGGTATGTTTCTACTCTGCCTTCCACTGTTGCAAGCCAAGCAGATAATCTGGTCAGGGCAGGAGGCCTCAACTAAAACCAGCAGTGGCAGCCACCATTGGAAAGAGCTCTTCTTATGGGACCTTGGGAAGTCAAGGCAAAAAGCAGCAAACAGAGCAGCCTTCCCACAGGGTCACGGACACACAGAAGAATCCCATGTGCATTTCTAATGCATCATTAATTCAGGACAGGAACATACTAAAAAAAAAGGGAAGAGCCTTTGAATGAAACCAGAGAAGCTAGTACTGCTGTCAGCCTGGGCAAATATCAGCCCATCCAAGCCAACGCATGGGAAATCTCTCTGCCGGTTCAAATCAAATCAAGAATGAGCCAGACCCAAAGGCCACAAACCAGGTTTGCTTGAGCTGGTGCTGCAATGCTGCAAAGGCTGCTGGTCTAGAGGGAGCCCGGTGCTGCAGCAGCTCTGGCTCTTGCTGGCTGGTGTTGTGATGGAGCACTGCTGCTCCCTGCCACCGCCGTATAAGTATGTCACAGCGCAGCGCTGCATTCGCAGCACTTTGTCGCCGCAGCCAGCAGCCCTTGCTAGGCTGGCTCGCACTGGAGCGTTACTCACAGAGCGCTGCACGCAGTCGTGGCATCCAGAGATGTGCCGAACCTTAATTTAAAATGGATGCACGTAAAAGTTTAATAAGGCTCTGGGCACCATATCCTGGTTCAGAGGGACCCGCCTGCCCATTCAGACTCTCCTCTGTAGCTTGTAAACTTCAACATCAACTAACAAAAGGATGATTGGCCTCCAAATAGTCCCAACATGTGCAGTCAAAGAGAACAGATCGTTTTTGACTGAGGTTCCCTCAATGCAGTCGCAAACCTTAGGGAAAGTTTCAGCGAGCTAGCCTGAGCTTTGAGTATTAACATAGTCTGAGCCTTTTGGGGTTCACTGGGAACAGTCCATTTTAAATGAAAACCCCAAATCTAATGTATATAAATACAGCAAGGTGAAAGTATCATTCTGCTGAGTCTTTTAGACTGCTGCTGCCTGAACTGATATAGTAGAGAGGGATGAAAGAGCAGCAGATAATCTGCCTGACCTTCCAGCTTCTGATTATCTCTTCTCCAGGAAAACAAGGCTGAAGTACTACTTCATTCCAGCTTGTCAGGAACAGAGTTGGACCTGAGCCCCGGAGACCGGATCTGAACGGTGATAACGTTCCCGAGTTTCCAAAAGGGAGAATCCGCAGAACATCAAGCACAACTGACTGATCATAACAGCAGAATTCAAGGCCCAAATATATTAAGACAAAGCCATAAATACACAAACAATGCTGCCTTCTCAACAGAGATGACAGTTTTAGTAGGCAAGGCCAAGAACAATTAAGATTTTTTTTTTTTTTTTTTACAATCATTATTCTTTCCTTATCAAGCATCAAAGAAAAGATTGCTGAATGTTGAAAGCTTCATGTGCTCATCTGAGCAAGGCTGATAAAGCCATATATGTTTATGCTTTTATTTCCCTTCAAGGCATATTTCCTTGATGATATTCTGCGTCTGATTATCTGCCTATGAAAACATGCACGTGCAGCAGGGGACAGTACATGGCCAGCTCTGCAGGAAGTCTGGAGAGAGGCATCTCAGGGTCAGTGTTTGGGGAAATTCATCCTTTTAATGTCAAAAGGATGGGCCTGTAGGGGACTTAATGGACGTGCCGATCTACAGGAGAAGTGGGTGATTATGTCTAACTATGCTAACGGGATGCCAGCCTTAGCACATGCTTGCAGTTCACTCTGTCTTATCAAAGAAGAGGGGTTTCTTCACATATCCCTTACCAGTGCTGCACACAAGTGCCCCTGCCTATCCAAAACAGGGTGGAAGGCGTGGCTAACAAAATACAAGGATGTTCTATATTAACTTAAGAAACAGGCTGGCTAAGGTCACTGGATGAGCGAAGTGTTATGCAGACAAATCTTATTACTCACCTTTACACAGGAATAAATGACCGAAACAAACACCACTGTGGTCAGGATCAAAAAACAGGTCAGGTAAAAACCCAGCATAAACGCAGAGCTGAAACCAGAAAAGGAGATTTAAACAAACAAAAAAATGACACCATATCGAAGAGTTACAGCTTTGCTCTGGGCTCCGTGATGCTTGCGCAAAGTATGACACATCAAGGAGCTTTCTGCTTGGGATGGCGGGAGGGGGTAGGAGATGCCTCGAATACTGACAGACATCCTGTTCCCTTTTAAATTACGCACGCCGGCTGCCGACCAGAGAACGCTGCATGTCTCACAGGCACTGCCATCCTGCTGGGGTGACAGCAGAGAGACTGAGAAATATTTTATGTGCTAGAAGAGATGATGGAATAATTTGTTATAGTGGGCCAGTCCCCAAGCTGGCAGAGGATAAGAGGCTCGAGGAAGGAAAGCTTGCTGGGCTTGAGAATTCAGCCATCTGCAGCCAAGCGCATAAGAAATCTGCAGGGGAGACGTCGTGAAGGTCACATTCGTGGGCCCCACCCCAGCCCCTCATTCGCCCTGTTCATGAAGGGCTCAAAACTGGTGCCTCGCTAATGAGGGAAAATGCAGAGGAAGTGCCCGCTTCCAACAAGGTTACCGAGATGTTCAGACCTTGTTTGATTCCCATGTAGAGCATCTGCTCTGCATTTCTTGTTGTGTCCTGCTAGCTCAGCCAAGGAATAGGACAGTGGCTACCACGCCACAAGGATAATTCCTCAAAAAAGGAGCCTCAGTGCTAGCAGTCTGCAGCATATCCCCTCTTCATTTTGCTACCCCGTTTCACGTAAACCTATTCTCACACAATTTTGTTGTCCTGATCAGTGATCTGTTTTGATCACGTGATTATCCGACAACGTGTTCATGGTTACTAGACTTGGTATGAAAGGACAGACGCCCTCTGGAACCTCTGCCTCGTTCCTAATTCAGAGGAGGTAATCTTACATGGTGACATTAAGGCTAGCTGCGCTGGATCCAGCTGGTGTCCATGCTCTCTCATGACTACGGAGGTAATTGGACTTGCTAATTTGCTGTTTGAGCTGCCAGAGCATTCATTAAGGCTATTCCTCTTAATTACCACAAGTTATCACTGCCATTTTGTCTCCAGTTGCAAATACAAATTCCACATTGCGTCACTGGTGAATGCGTTTGTTGGTGACACCCAGGTGCACATGGCAACAGCTGCTCATTAACCGCTGCCTTCAGTAAAGACAACTATTATGCAATTAAAATATTAAAAGCAAAAAGAATTAAAGTGCTTGTGCTTTGGGTTCTAATTTTGGGATGAATTTGATAGTTAGCTGACTAAAGCTGACCTTCTCTACAAAGCTTGGCCAGTGGATTTCAATACTGACCTTCAACACCTCTGTGATGCTACTCATCCTTAGATGACACGGTCCACATTTTTACTATGTGGACAAAGGACCCCTACAAACTTGATTCTAGGAGGGCAGACAAGTTCAGTAACACTTGTGACCCAATTCACATATGAACTTGGGTCTCCAGAGGCAGAAAGCTGTTGTACGAATCCAAAACAACCTCCACTTTAGAAGTCAGCTAGTATTCATGCACAGAGAATGATATGGCTCATTTATTGATCTAGGGAAGTGACATGTCCTTGTAAGGGTCCCAGCAACTGGCACACTATATTTTTTCCTGACAACACCCTTAGGATACCCCTCCTTCATATTGGAGATATGGAGAGAAAGCACAGAGTGGAAATGCCTCAAAAGCACCTGCCTCCTAAGAGACTTGGGCACTTTAAAACCTAAAACCGCACTGATGTTATCATACACACAGGCTTTGGCACTTGAGAAGGGCACACAGGGGTTTGTGTGCACAAATATACAACCCAGGGTTTGAAGAAAAAAAAAAAAGTCACGCCAGTAGGATTTGCCACACCAAGATACACTAATTGCTTATGAAATCCAATTTCCTGACTGGCTATTTCCAGGGAAAATAAACAGTCCCCAGGATGCCATGTGCTGCTGAGATGTGCAAAAAAACAGGAGTCTCCAAAAAAATACAGAAAAAAAATAATAAAATATTTTTGCCTACAAGAGAAGATCAGCAAATATACAGCACTGGCATTAATGTCACCGTGAACCTGCTCTGATTTCCCTGCCTACCACAGAAGAAAGGCACTCAGCCATTATAATTGTCAAGGATCTAGAAGTTGTCAGCTTGTTTTATTTAAATGCTTAACTGGCTTTAATTAAATAGCCTGGTGGTTGCTCAGTGTGTCTGATGGGTGACCTGAAGCCTTTTAGAGGACCTCTCTCACAAAGATGCAAACTCAGGGCAGCAATGTCAGGTCAAATGATCTAAAGTCTAAATGTGTGGAAGGCAAATCTACAGAGGGTTTCAGCAATTGCTAAACAAGTGCTGGGATTGACCTAATTTCAATTTTGAGCTCAGCTGGCTTCTCTTCC